CATCTGGCTACCATGAGAGATTCGTTCATTAGAATCAGAATCAGAAAGGGTTTTATTCGCCATGAAAGTTCACACCGACACGGAATTTACTTTGGCAGGATGGTGCATACATTCAACATATAGGAATCTAAAATCTTAAATAAGTTTTAAACAAGTCTTACTGTAATAATAAGGGTTAAAAGTCTAACTAACACCAAGGGGCTGAAGTATATAAAATTGAATAAATATCGAATATAAAATAGCTTTAAGATATAATTTAAAAATAAAAAATACAAATAGGTTAACATAGTTAATATCGGCAAGGTGTCATTATGTAGATAAAATGTAGAATCAGTGTAAGCCCTTGGCCTTGTTTAACAGGCCGCAGCAGATGGGAAGAAACTGTTTTTTATGGCGTGAGGTTTTTGGTCCTGATGGACCGAAGCCTTCTGCCGGAGGGGAGTAGCTGAAACGAGAGAGTGTCCAGGGTGGGAGGAATCGGCCATAATCTTCCTCGCTCGCCTCATGGTCCTTGTCGTGTACAGGTCCTCGAGGGTTGGTAGATTGCAGGCAATTACCTTCTCAGCAGTGTGGATGATACGCTGCAGTCTGCTCTTGTCCTTGGCAGTGGCAGCAGCGTACCAGACGGTTATGGAGGAGGTGAGGATGGATTCAATGATCGCTGTATAGAATTGCACCATCATTGTCTTTGGCAGGTTGAATTTCTTCAGCTGCCGTAGAAAGTACATCCTCTGTTGAGCTCTCTTGGTGAGGGAGCTGATGTTCAGTTCCCACTTGAGGTCCCGGGAGAGAATAGTGCCCAGGAAGCGGAAGGACTCTACAATTTTGACTGGGGAGTCTAACAGGGTGATGGGGGTGAGTGGGGCTGTATTCTTCCTGAAGTCCACAACCATCTCAACTGTCTTTAGAGCATTTAGCTCTAAGTTGTTCTGGCTACACCAGGTCACCGGGTTGTCAGCTTCCCACCTATAGTCAGACTCATCCCCACCAGAGATCAGCCCAATGAGGGTGGTGTCGTCCGCAAACTTCAAGAGTTTGACGGACAGATGATTGGAGGTGCAGCTGTTGGTATACAGGGAGAAGAGCAGCCCTGAGGAGTTCCGGTGCTGATGGACCTGGAGTCAGAGACTTGTGTTCCCAGCTTAACGCACTGCTTCCTGTCAGACAGGAAGCCTGCAGGTGGAGTAGGGCACGTTCAGCTTGAAGAGCTTGTCTTGAAGCAGGGCAGGGATGATGGTGTTGAAGGCAGAGCTGAAGTCCACAAACAGGATCCTGGCTATCCACATATACAAGCACAGAGACAATTTCAACCGAGAAGATGGATTCTGGCTTAGCAATCATTGGAAAGATTTGATAAACCATTTCAGGTCTTAATTGATTGTTCACGCTTACAGTGGCTTTCAGACAGCATACATTACATTTTTCGTCTCCCCTCTCCTCTTTTCATAACATAGATGGACTAGTCCTTCTAAATAAATTACCAAATCGCTGCGCGTGGCGCTAACGTTTTTTTTTATAAATAAATAAATACACCGTTTCAAAAAATATAAATTTATGCAAACCGACACACCTGATGACGACCGTTTGTGTTATGGTCGAAACGTCGTGAGAATTTTTATTGTTTTATATATATTATTATTATTTTATTGTTTCCCTTCAACGTGACTTTACCGAAAGAACTAAGAATATGAATTACTGCAGTCACGAAAGCTTTAACTCAAAATTAGTTACTACTTCAGCAATAACCGGTTTGTTGGAGAGTAAAGCCACAACATTTATGATTTGAGTACTGTGACGTTTCACTGGTGACTACAACCAGCTTCATCAGGCGATTTGTCAGAATTGTGAAAAATTAATGCTGTTTGTGGTGGGTTATCGATACATTTATATTTACGCCCCCCCACCCACTCTTAATCTTCGATATTGGTCGCGAAAGCCTCCCTGCTAACCTTTTTCTCCGCTCTTTAAATTCCGCACCAGCTGCTATTGCACCACTCACACGTAATTGCTGTTCCTTTGTAAACAAAACAAAAAACACATACATATGTATTGTTGAGAAGCCTTTGGTTGCCAGGGTTTTTCAAAATCTGCGGGATTTTTGGTTTAAATTAGCGTACACAGATGTAGATGCAGCAAGCGCGTGCTCGCTGTCAATCGCGGCGATCCTCCTATGATTTGCGTCAACGCTGCCATAGGTATGTGGAATTTCCACCATAGGCTCACAGCTGTAAGCATGAGATGAGCACAGTAAGATGGCATCCAAACTCATCGTGAACCGCGATCTAATACCACTGCTAGATCGAGGCACCCCCCCCCCCTAAACATGTCACCAACCGTGACAGCCTCACGATGCAACGATCCATCGGGCTCATTAGAATCAGAATCTATATTTAGACTGGAGGAATGAGCTGTACGCGCACGCTCACACGCGCACCTAAAATATTTCATTCCCATTTTGTCTTTACAAGCCGTAGGGGTAAGCACTAGGCGCTGCTGGCAGCGTTTATTACAATTTTAAATAAGATTTGGAAATACAAATAACATCTTAATGCCTGGACATCTTAAGGTTCGCATGGTGCATGAGCATTGTGGTGTTTCCAGCATCGTGTCCCGGCTGCCTATTTTCTCCCGTGGTGTTGTTCAATCACTGCACCCAGGTAGTATATCCACTTACGGCCGAGTTGACCTAGTGGAGGCTCAAACAAGTTTCAGTATCCGCTGAACCACGTTATGCTATCCGTGGCTGGGATTGAACCCAGGCCAACAGGGTCACATTGAAGTGCATTAACCATTGCACCACCCACTCCACACGCGCAGACATATTCCCTGCATAGCCAGGTAGACCATTCGGAGGAAGTGGTGTTTGCGAGCACCAATTAAGGCTGTCACGTAACGTTAGGGAGCGATGGGGACAACACAACACGTGGCTGCTGCCTCAGTCTCTCCCCCCCCCCCCCGCGCCTCACGTGTTAATATTCGCACATCACAGCAGGTACTCATTTAAGGCTGAGTCAACATACGAGAGGTCCAAACCCGATTGAAATATTCCGCCGATGTTGGCTGCGAGCGGGGACTCGAACTTTGGTCGCCTGGTTCGTTGCGCGTCGCGTTAACCACTGCGCCACCGCTCCTCCCCACACACACAAATCTGTATTACCAGCAGCGTAAGCTTGAAAGTAAGGAACACGCAATTTGAAAATGGTATCATTTTGTTCACACACCAACGGCCATCGCACTGGGCTCAGGTGTTTTCAGCGCACGAGCTTGTTCAAAAGCTTCACAGTCCGTTGATTGCCTGCTTAATTCACCTCCAGAATAATACAGCAAGTTGTTTGTTTCAACTCTCGACATCGCCATCATCAAAGGAGTGCGTTTAATGATAATTCAACATTATGCCCCAGAATGCAGCCCCGTCCTCCACACCGGTTGGTGGTCCCGTTTCATTACTTTCTTTTTTTCGAATTCGTTCGTATATTTGAAAGGAAAGAGCATTTCCATATGTGCACAAAATAATAACTCGGTAAGATCATTTTTCTGCCCTTAATGAGCGCTTGGCAATTTATTGCAAAATTTGCCCTACATTTCACAACGTCAGCCATTCAGCAATGCCGAGGGAGGGGCCCTGAGTAACAGTGGAGGCAATCGGAGGTTTAATTTATTCGGAGTATAAATATTATATCACCTTGAAAAAAAAAACACCTCACATTTAAATGGTCAAATTATTGCAAGTGAACGGACCAAGCGCCGTCTGTCCGCACAAAAAAGTTTGCGAACAAAATGGGAAAAAGTGGGCTCAGCAGACTTCCGGAGTTTGGGCGTTAGTGTTGGGATTCTGGGTAGTGCCAAGCTTCTGGTTGGGTTAGGGTTTGGTTGGTTAGTGTGGTTAGGTTTAGGGTCTGGGTTGCTAGTGTGGTTAGGGGTCTGGTTGGCGAGTGTGGTTGTTTGCCGAGTATGGTTAGGTCTAGGCTTAGATTGATTGCATTGTGTGCTTCTCCCATTACCTGGTGTGGCCTTTTCAATGTTCATTCGCTTGTCAATACCGACATTGACTGCATTTTGTGATGTCCGTCTAACTTCAGACGCCTTGCAGCGTTGAACCGTGAAGCCGGTCCGGGGCACACACAGGTCACGTGGTGGATTGCGGCCACCATGCTCTTGCCTCCCGTTACTTGACAGAGTGAGGACATTTCCTTTGAACGCCGCTCATTGTTGACGCCGTGTGGTGGCAGAGAGACTCGGTGAATCACGCGGCGTTAAAATCTCACGCTCGTCATCACCCCCCTCCCTCCCTCCCTCCGGCGATTCGATGAATTGTCGCGATTCAAAGTTGGTGTGCAATATATTTATATTGGGGTTTGTTTTATCATTGTAGTCCAAGTAGCAGACCACTTGTGACCGTGAGGGGTCACGTGGACCCATTGAAAAGACCACGAATCGAAAAATAGATTTATTTTTTATTACAAGGACAAAGATCCCTCTTATAGCCTACAAAAGTGTTGGGGCAAGTGCTGTTAACGAGCACTAATGAAGGCCAGCATGGCAAAACGAGGGGGTAGGTGGCCAGCACCACGCCCGGCCGCCCTCGTCTTCCTAGTGGAGACATGTACACATTGCACCAGGTACTCATTTTAGGCCGAGTCGACCTAGAACAGGCCTAGGACCGGTTCAGATAATCGCCACTGGCCGTGAGCAGGAGTACAACTCTGGTCACCGGTTTCATAGAGCAGCGCGCCAACCGTTACACATTACCGCTCCCCACCATATGACGCACGTAACGTCGTCGTTATTTGAGAGCTTAACAGTCGATACGAGCCCACGAACTGACGCACCGTTACGCCGCCGGTTAAAATACACGAGCGTGGAAGTGGGCAGGCGGCACTCAGAATGTGGAAAGGGCGGCGGTGGCGTGCGCTGCCACGCTGAAAAGGGTGCACCGTGCTGTACCCTCCGTTCTATACAGCTGCGCAGCGGGTACAAAAGGAGGCCTTTGAAAGCGCGCGGAGAAAACCAAAGGTGTTTATTTTTAGTTGAACGGAAGCTCGAGTACAAGCGCGCCATGGGAGGGTTACCCGGGACCAAACGGCGTCAATACTGATACGCGGAGATGGGTTTCTGATGATGACTTGCGATTCCGAAAATGTTTTGGAAGTGGTATAGAAACATTCAATATCTTTCCTCCTGCGAATAAGACAGTTGCGGTTATTTACAGACGGTATCCTGACACAGCTAACACATTCTATCCAAAATAAAAAATACGGCAATAAAAATTATCACGCAATATTTGGTAATTTCCCTTCCTTGTAACAACTTCCGGGATTTCTTTTTGTACATAAACGGGCCGAAATGAGTACGAAATTATACTATTTAAAAAAGCAAACAGCCATCCAAATTAAGACGGAATTATGTATTTAGTTCACTATTATCGTGGGAATGGCATTCAAAATGAATTAAGGGAATTTTAAATTGAATGTCAAACCTGTCGCGAGTGCTACAAGGCTACCATGAATCCGTGCCTCGATAAATGCCACTTAAAAAGAAAAAACTTGTGTTGTCAATGTAGCCGTCAAAACTCACGAGGGCTCAGTGCAGCCAACTGATGACTGCAACATTTTCATGAATAATAATAATAGGTCATTCTCAGTTTGGTTTGTCGATAAAGTCAGCTAATACCAGCTCTTGACGATTACACAGAGACACTCAAGATTATTCGGTCGTGGGACCCACGACAAGCCAGGCACTGTTTCTGGACAAAGAAGCGCCCGCTGGTCTCGTGGTCCGAAACCGGTTTGAGATGAGGCCGGAGGTGGTTTTGGTTCGTGCCGAGTTCCGCGCCCTTTCCCGTGACCGCGGTCCCGTCATGATTCTAAGCCGCCGCCGCCGCCGCCGTATTTCATTGTTAAATCTTATCACCTTGCGGGTTATAAAATCCCCCCCAAAATTTCTACTCTCAACACGGAACTGCCGACGGAAGCACCCGCCGACGCGTTGCGTCGACACCGGCTTGACAACATCCACCCCGGGGACGCGCGAGCGCAGACGCAGCCGCCCCCTTACCCCGCAAGCGGGGCGGGCGTCTGCGTCACGAGCGGCGACGGGGCAGAGCGTCGAATGGAAGAGGCCGCCATCAGTGCAACGCGTTCACAAGCAGGGAGAGCGTGGTAAGACCTGGTTTCCGCGACACCCCTCCGTCTCCCGCCCCCCACCCACCCACCCACGCTGCCGTCATCCATCGCGGACTCCCGACTTCTTAGCCTGGGGACGGCGTGAACCCAGCCGCAGCGCAATAAAGGCGACCCCCCGTAATTTAAAAAATCGGGCTCGCAGCGTCACAGGGACGACATGAACTCCTGCAGCTGCGTGGTCAATTCCGGGTCCACGGTCTCCATCAGCACCTGCGGAGGAAGAGGACACGGCACATCGGTCAGCCGGAAAAAATGACCACGCGGATGTTGCTGGTGTTGGTGCTCCATGCAAGAGAGCTCTTGACGAGCTGCCCGGGTGACTTCACTCAAGGTCAAGAGGTCATCAGCTCATTTCCGCCACACGACATCCTTATCGCTTCCTTTCTGTTCGATCTCGAGGTGCTGACGTCGCACCGTCAACGAGAGAGAAGCCAAGGTCTTCTGCTCTTAGTCTCCTCGTCACCACCGGCCATCTGGCCGGAGGCTGTTGCCCGGTCAAGACGTCCTTCAAGGAGCGCCCTCCTTCTCGTCATCATCACCACCACCGCCGTCGTCTGCCTTTCGGTCTTCCCCCTTGGTCAGCGACCTCTGGGTTGCGGCTCCAATTCCCAACGTAGGAAGTTGCCTTCCTCCTCCACCCAAGCGTCTCAACATCACAACCTCCGCCTTCCCGATTGATTACATCAACATGAATAAAAAATTCACATCGAATATTTTACTAATTATTTCACAAAAACACTTTTTTTTTTAACCAGACATTCATACTAATAATCGACACTCCTGTATAGGCAACTCATTTTCCTGAGAGTGGAGATTTGGAGACCCGCGTCTCGATGCCTGGGTGTGATGCATCTGCCCTCAGGGACTTCCCAGAGACATGACGTGGGTATCTCTCCCCTGAAGCCAGCTACGCTCCCAACACTATCTTTACATCGGACACAGAAAAATGACCTCAATGTCTCAATAGCACAAAGCAGTACTAGGTTTTTTTTCTCTTCACATTAAATCAAGCAAAAAAATGATACATTTTGGAGCCATCCTGAACGTTAATATAATATGTAATTATACGGTTATATAGTTTATTATTTCGCTATTATTATGCTATTTTAACACTCATGTATTGATATTATGATACCGTGATATTATTATGTGGGGAGAAATAGCGACGCTTTGGGAGCCCTTCGTCCGGTAGTGGCGAGATCGTGGCTGATAACGGTGGATTGGGATGTCACACAGACATCGCATGAAATAAATAAAACTATATTCCTGTGTACATTACGGAATCAGCCTGAACAGCATTGTACAATACATAATGCAATTATACAGTACAGTCTCATCATTGAATCATCATACTAATAAAAATACATGGATACCTCTTAAAATTCAAAGCTCAAGGGCCAAGTAGTAAGTAGGGGGGGGGGGGTAAATAAATATATACCATTTGAAGCCATATAAATAAACACAGACTGTTGAGCCATCAGCCTTTCCTTGGCAGTACAGAGGCTAAGCATTAGGGCTCAAAGTGATGGCAATGGCAGTGGCAGTGGCTGTCGAGTGTGCAGGCAGTGCAACTGCGCCGAGGCCCAGGCACTGGGCGACGAGGAGGGGGGATACATCAGACAGGTGGGACCCATTTCGTCGCTTGCACCAGGGCCCCTGCCAGCAACGCTACACCACTGCCTGTCCACCGAGCCTGCGAGTCCCCCGATGCATGCGTTTCTCCGTGTCAGTCTACGGGTCTCTGTGCGAAGCAGCATCTACGTAAATATGTGGGCCGCCGAGACAGTCTGTGCACGGGTCCCTCTACAGCGGCATAGCTAACGAGTGCGCAGGTTTTGTGCAACAGCAATCAGCATCCATGGGCTAGAGAAGCCCAGTCGCAGGGGTACCAACACAGAGGTGGTGGGTGGGGTTAAATTAAGACACTGGGAGCCCCATTTCAATTCACTCATTGCACCAGGGCACAATGCCAACCACCGCTAAACCACTGGACAACGGGGGACACCTGCTCAACGCTGGTGGGAGCTTCACACCGGGAAGGGGGTATGACCTGGAAGGCCTGGGGGCCCATGAAGTCCTGCTGGGCCTTCAGCTTGTCGTACACGTACTGCTGCAGCGACGTACTGTGCACGGGGTCCTTCATCGCCAGCTGCATCACAAACGCAGCAGGGGCCCGGCCAGAGGAGGGGGGGGGGGCGGGAAGAGCCGGACGGGGAGAGAAACGACGTTAGCTGGAAGGCGGACAGAAAATAAATCCCCCAAGCACACAAAAAAAAGTGTAAGTGGCGTCCTACTGAATTGAGTGGACACACTGGTGCGCATGTCCCAGTTAAGGATGGATAATTCCACATTCCTATGACAGAGGCGGTAATTTTCCCGAGGACAACCACTGCCGACTTCTCCTGCAATGTGGTAGCCATTTTATTGACCCCCGGAGGCGATGGGCCGACTTGAGAATCCCGGGCTATGAACTCATACCGCTGTGCCACACACACGCACGTACACACGTCCACGCACGTACACACGTACACACACGCACGTACACACGCACGTACACACGCACGCACACGCACGCACGCACACGCACGCACACACGTACACGCACGCACGTACACACGCACACACACGTACACACACGCGCACGTACACACGCACGCACGTACACGCACACACACGCATGCACGTACACGCACACACACGCATGCACGTACACGCACACACACGCACGTACACGCACGTACACGCATGCACACACACATGCACACACACACACACATACGAAGCCCTATTGGCCAAGATGTGAGACGGACAAATTCACATTTTTTTTTACAAACGTTATTTCATTATTATGTTTTAAACATTGTAAGAAGACTGTGGATGAAATGCCTTTCATTAAATAAGAAATAATTTCAATAAGAATTAGGCTCGAGAATGAAAGCGCACAGGAGAACAAAACCACTAACACATTTGGCTGAGATCCATGTCAAATTTGACATTGCGCTTCCACCGTCAGTGACTCGGTGATATTTCAAAATTGAGTTTCCATTTAGAAACAAAACCTTTACCCAGGATAATAGAGATTATACTAGATAGGAGGGTAGTCTATCGGATAGTTCTTGTAAAATTGCACCTGCATTTGATAACGTTTTCAAGCATATTACTTTTTTCCAGAAAGAATTGTCAGATACGAAGCTGCACTATAGCCGTTACATTTTACTATGCGTCTGCGTATAGACATCACAACTTAAATAAAAACCAATCTGTATCGGACAATGCCTATTGGATATCACCTGTGGCCAAATCTTGGCATGGTAAGCCTTGGCACTTGATTGGTATTATGCAACCACAGGCCAGTCGTTTGTCAACAGGGGTTGTTATACAATTTTCAAGTTCATTTAGTTTAACCAGATGGGAATAACTCAAGAGACCAGGATGATTCTCATTTGCAAGAGTGACCTGGACCACCAACGTAATAAACGTAATATATATAAAGTACAGAAATGAACCAATATGTATACACTTCTGAGTGTTCCAATTTAATCGAAAATGGATACGGCCTTGCATTTGCTTGGCTCGTGAAACTCCTGGTAGAAAGGCCACCACTAGGGAGGCCTCTGGGTGCTATTTTGGTCTACTGCTCCACGTCAACGGGACGTGTTTAAAACACGTGGTTACCCACATTTCCCCCCCCCCCCACCACCACACGTGAGAGATGTGGATCCAGCCGGCGACCTCTTGATTGCAAGTCCGGTGCACCTGATCGCTGCACATCCACTGCGGGGGGCAGCTCCCCGTCTCAACGCACGCGTCGCGGGGGGGTTTACATGGCTCACTCACGTGGTCCGCCCAGCAAGTGTCTAACTGTGTTGTGGCCTGACTGGATGTGCTTCACGTAATGTTTTTTTCCAGGTTTGGTGAATTCTCGTCTCTCATCTTTTTGTTGTATTTACCTCCGTGATTTGTTCTTGACACCTGATGAAGATCGCTTGCGTTGTGATCGAATCGTCGTGATTGTTTTTTTGTTTTAATATAATTTTATTGTATTTCTACATGCGTGACTTTACCGAAAAAACCAATGAGTAAATTTTACGCAGTCACGAAAGCTTTAATACTTTATTATTTACATGGCTCCTCTGGTTCCTTCACACATTCACAGGAATTGGCCAAATGGCCCGATGCAGGATCCTCCTTTATAAAGCGGCAACAAGAAGAAAGAAAGGGGAATGCTGCGGCCCCTGGAGGTTTCCTCGCTAAATACAGAAGCCGAGTCGCGGTCTCGCGGCCGCTTCGCAGAAAACACACGAGGGAGAGAGATGCCGAGCTCGAGTGCCAACGGACTTTCATTAAATGAACGCAAGACTTTGACGAAGCGCTCCGCTTACGCGTGTCGACGAGCTCATTTAACGTGCCCCGCGTGATATTTCGTCGCTGGATTCAACCAAGACGTTGTACACCATTAGCGGCGATTAATCAGGTGTAATGTGTAAGTTTTTTTTTGATTAATTTGTTTACAGCCTAATCGGCTTTTGGTTAACGAAAGCAAATGGGGAAGACAATACAATTGGAGTGGCCCGACTTGAACCTATTTTCTTTTCGTGTTGTTTATTGTTTTGTACGACGTTGCTCTGGGCGTAACGATTCACCGCGTAAATAGATGAACGTTGATTCCCCAGAAAACGACATTAATCGAATCCCATTTTGCAATATGAAATACACGTATGTGAATGTCTCACAACGGCCGTTGCATACCATTGGCGTTGCATACCATGGCAAAAAAAAACCCATCAACACACCATTAAATAACACTGCCTTTAAAAGGTGCTGTGAAGAACGGACCAATGCCAAAAACGCCAACCGTGCTCTATTAAAATGGGAAACGGAATGGTGCAGTGGTAATACTTGTGCCCCGTAGCAAGAAGGACATGTGTAAAATTCCTGACTCGGTCACCTTTCTGTGAGTGCAGTTTGAATGTCGTCCCCTTTTTATTGTTGTATGGGTTTCCTTCCAGGTTCTCGGGTTTGCTCCCGTAGCTGAAAACAATCAATGTCCTTGGTCAAACATATCCCAATGTGGCAGGATTCACCGTGGCGAGATGTTAACTACCTCGCCTGGTATACAGGAGGTCATGGATTCAATCCAGACCCTGACAGCTGCTGAATATTTGGAGTTTGCGTGTCTCTCTACCCGTGGTCGTGTTGTTGTTTTTTTCTGGTCCTCTGGTTTTTCCCTCCACATTTATAAAACATGCATGTAGAGTATTTGGCTGCTAAATTTCCACGCGATAAGCCATTTCGTTAAGCTATAATTTGTGGCCAGGTCCCTTCTGAAAAAGTGCTATATAGCTCAGTGGGCTTTACCTGGTAATATGAAAAATATAGTTTAGCTTGTTGAAAATAATATATTTGGACTCACTGTGGCTTTCCTGGGCAAATACTATATTATATTTCAGAGGCCTGGTGTAATTGTAGAATTGCTATTGATACCGACAACTGCACATTCTGTGATGAAGAGCATTCGCACGATACGATTTTTTTTATTCCAGCCACCCACCAGATGATCATTGTCACAATTTAAAATTTTTCATCTCGACAGACAAGAGACCATATGTTCCAGTGGCTAATAACTAAGCTCTGATAAATAAACACTTTACATTCTCAAAACATTTCTTCAACACTCAGGGTATAAACACTCACCATCCCCCTCGGGTCACAGCGCGGCTTCCCCCCCCTTAATATATGTATCGCTTACCGTGGACATTTGTAAGCACGACGTTACTCAACTATTGACTGGGCACAGATTAAACTGTGAACCGCGAGAAAGAGAGACATTGCATTAACGTCGACCCGGCCGCACGTTCCTCCATTATCTAGTGAAGCGCACCAGAGTGGGTCAATGTGGAAGTGACGAGTCACCTGGGAATTTAACCCGTTATATAAACCTGCTGGGAGAGGAGGAGGGGAGGGGGATGGCGGTGGATCGGTGGCGTTGCAGTTAGTGCACTGTTGCTGTGGACTCGGGGCAACCCGAGCTCGATTCCCTGCCACGGCTAGCGTCAGTGGCGAGTCATTTCTGACCCGCTCCTGGGATTATCTGCCACCCCAACCTGTTCCCCCCCACCCCACCCCGACTCCGTGCCACCTGCACTCACCAGTGTGGTTAAATATGGTCAACAACTCCCGTGACATCGAACATGGAGAAGCCTTTATGCAGCGCTGAATTCATGGGCTGAAAAGTTATTACAATCATTATACAACTCGCAAGAAGTGGCACACGGGAATTTCAAGAGCAGTTTGAAGTCGGCAAAGGGAGCAGGGCTTGCAATCGTAAAAAAAAACTGGTTGGAAGTTGGCTCGGCCAATAATTCCTCCGGGGTCCATTAATAAGTACAGCTGGGCGGCTACCCTCAATCGAGGTGGTCCTATGTCAAGATTCGCTCCCTACCATAGAAATGTGGAATGTCGACCGCTGGTTTCAGAGCTGTAAGATAGATGGGCACCGATGCCTCAATGCTCATTTGAGCAGGAAAATCGCTTTTGACGCTTATTCAAGTAAGGCAACTCAAGTTCAACCACCAAAAACCCAACACGAGGGATACGCTGCCATCGTTAGGTGCACAAACAAGGGGGGGGCGGTGGGGTGTGCCAGATTTATAATTAAGAGCAAATCTTCCGGCATTAATCTGGAGCAGATTGGGGAGTTGAAGACACTGGTGCGCAGCTAAAACCCACAGGTTGATTGGCAGGGCACAAAAATACAGTCGGCGTAGTGCAGCGAGCAAGCTGCCACGACACCACCCCTCCTGTATATTTTAATATTTGTTTACAAGCATTCACTGACGCACGCACAGGACAGTATTTACAACGGGTAGCGGATGAGCGCGTGTCACATTGTGTTCCCTTTAAACATATTGAAATGAGACAGCTAGGAGAAGGAACGGGGGCTGCTCACGAATGGGCCTGCAGGTCTGTGAGGTCTGTGCCGTTGAAGTGGCAGTCACCTCACTCCGATGCGCAAAAAACAAAGCTCCCTGTATAGCCTTAAAAAAGCCATCGGGGCAAGTACTGTGAGCGAGCCCCTATGAAGGCCAGGGTGGGGTGACGAGCACCATGCCCGGCTTTCTTCTTTGTCCCCTAGTTTACACATCGAGG